TTCCATCCGTAGATCTCGAGCTCCAACTATGCAAACTTGGGAGCGACGGAATGTTCTCAGTAATTTTGTGTTTAACTTATCGGAAATTACTGTAACAAGCACTTGACCAAAACGTGTTAGGGCAATGTGGAGGCAAATTCAAACTATTTTCGCTGTAGTGGTTCGAAAATTATTCCGGACAAGGTCGCGTCACTAAAAATACATATACTGCCATTCAAATAGGTTTGTGTGCACTACTACTGCTCTTTACATGTTCATTTTAATAAAAAGAAAAGGGGAATGGACCATGTAAACGTAATTTTCGTGAAGCCCTGAAAAGTTCTGCAAAACTGAAGCATATCTGACCATTCTATGAGTAACGTAGTTTATTGATTATGTTAACGTATGCCCTATAGAATAAACACAAAAAACTGGAGAAGAAGCCGGACATGCACAAAAAAGATGGGATGGGTGTGGCACACGTATTTGCCGCGCTGCCGTCAATGTGTTAACACTTAATCGAGGATAGATAGCTTCAAGGAGTGACGAATGACTGTTAAAGCTAAAATTGTATCCTGCACAACCTGTCTTGAAACCGGGAGTCCGCCCCAAAAGAGGTTCCCAAGCAGTGAGGTACATATGCACACCCTGGTACTCAAAGGGTTAAAGTACCGAGAAAAAGTTGTTCGCCGACGCCATGCGAGGAGTATAATCCTGGCAAACATGAAGCACACAAAGCTATTCTACCGCACCCGAAATATGGCACACGGAAGATCGAGGGTCACGACCACAAGTACCAATGCGTTTTTAATCGCTCACTACAAATCACGTTCGAGATTATCCAAGAACAAATTTATCGACTTTGCATTGACGAAAGGAAACAATAATAAACAATTCAACAAACTTCCTAATAATATAATACACTGATTAAACAACTCAAAACAAATTCTAATCTCATCCATCAGCCAGAATTTCTACTAGGCAACTGCATTTTCTGGCTTATCGCCAGCGTTTATGGGTAACTCGTCAGCAAGTGAGCTTCGAGGTTTTCTGACCCTCTCTCCTCCTACAACAAAAATCATACGAACGATTAATCAACAAAGGGTGACACGCACAAATTAATACAGAGGAAAGACATTAGGCAATCACTATTTACTCTAAGCAAGTCGATAGCCTGGGTAGTCTACCACTGCGAAGCGAAGCACATCATGAGAAACTTTTATTGACACTACCTTTTTCAGAAGTGGGGCGACGGAGAAGCCGAATCAACGTTGCATCAGCTTCAAGTAATGTCAAGTCATGCTTGGAACCAAGAAATTGCTCGCTCAGTTCTGGATCATGGAGTCTTAACAATACTGCAGCTCCTTCTCGGTAAGCTCTGAAATTTCATACTTTTCAATTTACAAGTGACGCTCTCAGAAAATTCGCACTTACTCAGAGTTCACTGCAGGTGCCTTGCAGACCGCATTGAACTTTAATCCGAAGTCGATATAGAGATCATCCTGAATAAGCCAAGGAAATGGGAAAAGTGAGGTAATCTTGAACTGTGCTCCTGGATGTATTCACCTGTACTCGATGCACGATCTTCCCAGTGACGAGGCGACCATTAAAATCTCCTAGCTGTACAAATTTCGACTGCCGTAACATACGAGAAAATGTTAAGCCCTGACAAAAGAAACATAAGGTTTTTCAAAAAAAAATGCATCTGAATAAAAACCAGGCCATGCGCAAAACTATTCAAGAGGTGAATGTGTAACGACAAGTGGCGCCGTCTACCACGCACACGACCCTGGAGACATCCAATGGATGAAGTCATCGAGCCAATCCAACCTTCTACCATTAAGAGCCTTAAATGGTGAGAGAAAGTAAGGAAGGAAAACAAGAAGGATTTGTAGCGGATCGCCCCCGGCTGACAATGATGGACGTATTCTTCAATGCCACTTACTGATTTGAATCGAGGTAAAACACGGTACTGTTTTCCCCAAAGGAGTGATGGAGAGCCGATGCCTTCACTACATTATTATTTTAGGCTCTTCCGCCCAGAGGTGAATCTCTGAAGTGATGACTTGTGCCGGCCTTGTTTTAGCCACACTTTCGTGGGAATGAAGCCCTCCGAGTAGTTTGCGAACAGTGAAAAAAGGTTCCACTCCCAGAGCCGCCCTTCCCTGTGAAAAATGGAATGTACTTTTCATTGCTTTTCTTGGATCAACCCTTTACTTTCATGGATTACTACTTCAAGGGAATTGAGTGTTCTACTGCTATCTTCCCTCAACCCACCCGCAACTCGACGTCCATCTTGGTGTGAAAAGTATTCGGAATTAGAGTGTGTCAACTGGTCTCAGAATCTTAATGCTATAGAAACCGCCGTGACTCAATCGATCAGGAGTGTTCTCCTTAGCGCTATCCGCCTACTGATAATTTATCACTATGACCGAATAACTAACGTTCTGAGAATTGAGGCTTACAGACGTTCGGAATTCTGCTGTCTCAGCGCTTGTCATTATAACACTCGTGTTTCGTTCATCCTTGTCAATATAAAAGCGGGGAGGCTCAAACTGTCCCCACATCAACAGGTTATTCCAGGTCCTGTTCAACTCATATGTGTTCTGAATGACCAAATCTTTATATGCCGAATGTTGTCAAGCGGCACCTTACCGCGTTGCAATTCGAATAATAAATATGTAATTAAATGATGGTGAATGTAGTGGTCGATGATGGGGAGGAAGGGGACGTATTGGAGCATCCCCAAACTGATGTTGGTAGAGGGTCGGGATCGGGACCCCTTGAAAGGTGAGAGTGTGATTTTTTGTGATAGGACGAACGAGACGGTTGACCCTGATGCGGGCACTGCGGAAAGTGCGAAGAAGGCCAACAGCATGCTTGGGCAGGATTGGGAGACTGGCATTTATTTGGAGAGACAGCGACTGCGCGCTAGACATCAGGCACCAGCTTTCTGGACACGCGTTTCCCGTGTTCCAGCGCAAAGTATGAAAGCAGCCTGACGCTATCGCAAAATACAGGGGCATCATCTAGAACTAAGCGTAGGAGAGAGAAGGAACTCTGAAGGAAATGAAAATTGCTCGGCAGCCTGGAGTATGTCATTCCCGCCTGAGACTTGGCCCAGTTTAAAAAAGAGATGTTTCACGCGGATGCAAATGCACTGCCACCACAATGCCTTGGTATCTTGCGATAGCGCCGGCAGCCATGTTGCCAGAGCAACTTATTTAATAAAATGTAGCTTGCAGTTGCACGATTTATAGACCAGTTTTCCAGCACAGTCATAGGCCTGTACTATTGCATCCTCGCTATTGCATCCTCGCCTACGATTGCCACATCCTGGCCAAAATGGGCATACTCACAATCAGTAGTGATAAAGATATCATCTTACTCTGTTCATATCCGTCACATCACGTCCGAGACTATCCACAAAATCGTCGAACACATCGGAAGACTCTGGAGAGTCTGCACTTGCACCAGACGATCCAGCTGTTGAGCAGTACCGAAGAGATGTTGCTCGCATGATGCTCGAGCCGAGCGAAATAGTTCGTGTCATAAATCGCATCACCTTAATTTGAGAGCTTAATGTCGCAAATATCCACAGTTACGTTATACCTCTGGATTGAGGTTTAGAAAGAATGGCCGTCAATCGAGAATACATTTTGTCCCGTACCATGAGAGTAGCAAATGCAGGCTCAGCAACAATTGTTATTCACTCCACGTCCAAGTCACGTTACTTTTGATTTGTAAAATAGCACAGGCACTTGTGGCAAAACCCCCAACAAATTGACATAGAATAATCATTTTGGTACTATTTTCTGATCGCGTCTGTGTTGCTCAGTCCACATTTGTGACTCACCAGGGTATGAGAAACAAGTGTGGCGCACTGTGGCGCTGGTGTACTAAGGCAGGTACCGGACTCCGCGAGTGCAATATCGGTCGCATACGCCAGTGAGGCAGTGCGCGATGCCAGGCTTGTACTAGGTGAGGTGAGTCGTTACTGATCCATAGCTTGCACTGTGGCGCGCCGCCCCAGGCCGGACGCATAGTCGGTCGGA